CGTAACACAAGACGAGAGGAAAGTTTGAACAAACAATTGAAAATAAACACACATGATTGCTACAAATGAAGATCACCGAAAGATTTCCCAAGAAAATAATCAAGCATATTGATTGAAAAAAAAACGTTCAATCTAATGTTCCTAAAAAAACTACCCAAGCAAATCTACAAATTTGTTAGATAAGGGTCCAATTAAAAAATTAGTTAGACGGAAAAGCACAACACATTAACCACCACAGAACCCGCAGATCAAATATGCAAAACAAACGAACTTCTCACCTTCCAAAATTTAATAGTTTTATCATTTGTGGATAAAAGAAACAAAGCACCATTAGCTGTTTGGCACCATCTGATCTTGTTGATTTTCTCCTCAATTTCCAAGCTCTTAAGATAATCAAACTGGACGCAGAAAGATGCAAACACTGAATAAATTAAATCAACCCTGATCCAACAAGCATAAAGAGAACTAGTAAAAATAAATACCTCAGGTTCATGGCTCTGAAACTCTGTTTTATAACGGAACTCTGGATGTCTACTAATTGCATAATCCATCCTCTCTAGATCCCTTCGGCTTGCGCTCTACACATCAAATTGCACAAAAATATTATACTGTTACAACAAACAAGAACCAGTAACGTAGTATATGAGATTCAGATTCACTAGACCCAAAAGAGTTGCACAACCGTACATCCTTTGTATCAGTCCTCTCAAATAATACCACTCTACCCCCACGATCTCCAGTAGCAAGGTGGTCACCAGTTTTATCAAACTCAATTGCTGAAATGATATCAACTGCAAAATTAAATGCAGCATTCAAAACAAACAGATTAGGAATCCTATTGTGAGCCCACCAAAATACACTGAGAACTATTACCTTCAACTACCATGTAAACAATAATTTTGCATTTGAAGCCATCTTGCAAAATCGACTGAACTTTAAGAAAACATCCAACTATACACACACACACAGTTTTACTACATCTATGGATGCAAATCATTTGCAAATGTTGGGAGCAAGACCAATAATACCCCAATTATATGCAGAAATTTCATGATATTCTAAATTTCCAAAATGAAAAAACATGGTGTTCTTCAAGCATAACTTTTGTACACTTAAATTAACCAAAGTAATTGCAACACTCCTAATTTTACCACATTCTGCATATTTCCCAGACAGCAAATACTATGCAACCGGTATATTTTTGCAACTTGTAGTTTATTACCAGCCAAATTGATTTATACAACCAAGTTTAAAAAAAGGAACGTAAAGTGTGTTTTTTTTTTTTTTTTGGCGCTAAAATCCGAAGTGGAAGCTATAAGAAACTTTGGGCCCGTTTGTTTTCAGATGTAGAATGGAGGGAACTGTTAGTGAGGGGATTAAGAAAAATTGTGTTTGTTTGATAACTAGTGAACTAGTAATAGTTCATGTTTGTTTTGAGAGATAGAAGTGGGATCAACCATGTAAAATTTCACAAATACCCTTTGCATTATTATCAAAAAAAATTTACTCAATGTTATTCTTTTTTTTTTTTTAATATTAATGAATCCAACTATCAACAAATTTTTACTCAATGTTATTATCTCTCTCTTTTCTTTCTTTCTTTTTTTTTTTTGTGGCAAATATTAAAGAATCCAACTATCAATAAAATTTTACTCAATTATTTGTGTTTGATATTACATGAGCCATGTTATGAGCCTCATTCCAAGTATTGGGACTATTTGCTACAGCTTCTGGGGGGTGATTAAAGCTTATTTTGATTTAAGAGTTTGTGTCAGACTATTTGATATAGCCTCTGCTTATAACTTATTAGGCATAAATAGCTTAAATAAGCTGAAAAAAACCGATTATTTAAAAGCTGGGATAGGGGTGCTTTTCACTTCTACTTTTTGATTATCAGTTTTTAACTTAAAAATAGTTCCACCAAACAGGGCCATTATAACAAATTTAGCAATAAACACAAGGGTAAAATAGTCAATTAACCCATAGTACCAAGGGATTCATTTTTGAATACCACCTCTCCTAAGCCACTACTAGTCCCCTCATCTAAGGCCTTTCATAGTCTCATAGGACTCCCAAGGCCACTTTCCAAAACAAACACAATTTTTTGAATCTCACCTCACTACTAGTCTCAATCTCATCTTCCAACTCTAGAAGCAAACGGGGCCTTAAAGTTCTACATAACCAAGCAGCTATAGGCACCAAACACTTTATTTTTTTCATTTCTTTTCCTTTCTTTCCATTTCACCCCACTCCCTACAAAGAATTTTTTGGGTATTTCATAGAGCATCTTCACTTAACCCTAATTTTTTTTTAATTTTTTTATTTTTTACTCAAGGAAGCCATTTTGCTTTGTTGGACTGATCAACAAAAGATTTGAATGGTGGAGTGTCCTGGAAGAAGTTGGGAAGCTAGAGGTAGTGAGACATGTTGCATAACTAAACTGAAGTTTTTAGGGCAAGGCTGGATTGTGAGTCACTTCCCTAGAGATAGAAAACGTATTCTCTTTCAATATAAGTGATATAGTCCGACTTGTGTGATCGACTTGTTGACACTATTGTGTAGGTAATTCCGACTTGAGAATTGTCATTACTTAGATCATCAAGTCTAAAATCAAGCTCGATGCTGCATTGCATAAAATTAACTCAACTTAAAGTGATGTTAATCCTTTGACAGTCGGCACATGAAGAACTAGTTAAGCATTTCCTATGAATAAGAGGAAAGAAATTGAAGTTACTGGGTGTACCAATAACACGACAAGTACTACAATTCCGAACCCTTGGTTGGACCAACTCAAATAGTCTCCCCAGCCTTACATTCCAGCAATGCACTAGCCTTATGTGCCAATAATTCAACAGCTTTTCCATGAACTTGAACCAGCACTGAGGCGATTACAATTTCACGTCCAATTGTTTTTGTGCCTCCAGCCCTCAAACAATCCTTAGGTATTGGTTCAAGTGCTACAAGAAAATGACGGAAGTAGATGACACAATTGGTTTACTGATTTAAGGTATCTATCAAATGATCTATTATTGGAGAAAAACCTAGGAGTCCAATCACTTATGATAAACTGACACTTTCTCGTGAATAGCTGATGAATGATCTTAATAAAACTCCATAAGGAGATAGTGAGACAGGTTGCATAGCTGAACTGAAGTTTTTTAGGGCAAGATTAGATTGTATGTCACTTCCTTAGAGATAAGGTGTAATGAGCCAGAATTTTTTTAAAAAAAATAGCCAATGCATAATTTAATTGAGTTTTGGGTGTTTGGACCAAGATTTGAGATAAATTTATTGGGACTATTTTGGTATATAATTGGACCATGTTTGACTTATGGGTGAGACCCATGATTTAGATTTAATTTAATTTTAGTTTGTTTAATGACTCATGTTTAACTGTTTGGTCCTTTTTAATTAAGTGATTGGTAGTAACCATCTTAGGAGTTGTTATTATTTATTATATAGGATTATAATAAATATTTGATGATTAGTGTGGAATAAAGAAAGCCAGTGGAGAATGATGATTTGGCGGAGCTCACAGATGGGCATTAATCAAAAGGAAATTGAGTGATTGACAGAAAGGATCTCTAAAAGAAAAAGAGATAGAGATAAAAAAAAAAAACAAAAGAGTTTTGTGTAATGGTGGGGGTTTTTGGCTAAGAGCATTTTTGAGAGAGAAAAAGAGGTTAGAAAGAGAGAGAGGCACACACATGGGGAGATAAGGGACAGCATTGTTTTAAAGTTAAAAAAAGAAAATACACATCAAGAGAATATATGATGGCTCTCTCTCTCTCTCTCTCTCTCTGTGTGTGAGGGGCTAAGAGAGGTTTTCGGTGGAAATAAAATAAAAATAAAAAAGGGTAAATAAGAAGTTCACATGGCTACCATCTCTATCTCTCTCGGTGGGATATAAAAAATTAAAAAAAAGATGGCATCGGCCCACTCTTGAACCTATTAGGCAGCTTGATACAATCAAATAAGGGAATTGAGGTGAGTAGATTTATGGAAAAAGTTGTGAAAAAGACCAATCTCTCTCTCTCCCTCTTTATTTCTCCATTGATGCTCAATCTTTGAGGTTGAAATGAGAGTCTTTAGAGTAAGATTTTGCCAAAGTGTTGTACATGAAAGTCGGAGAGCTTGTCATGATCTTCGCAATGGTGATCTCGGATCCATGATTGGATGATGTTTGCATTTTCAGATTAGTTTTTCTTCATATTTGAGGTAGGGACTTTCTTCATATTTTTACATTAAAGCTATGTTAGGGTTATTTTAAGAGAATATGTCATTTTAAGAGGTATTGCATATATATATATAATTTTCAAATTTTTGTTTGGTAATTTTTGGAAGAAAAATTATGATGAAGTGTTAAGAATGTTGGCATTTTGATATTGATTTTGGGAAAATCATTTTGTGTTGTTAATTTTGTAAAAAAAAAATCGAAAATAAAATTTAAAGGTTGCATGATTGTATTTACATCATATTATGATTAGATGATTTCTTTTGCGAAATATAAAGTTGAAATATATATATATTTTTTTTTATCTTTGATTTGGAATTTATTTTTGAGAAAAATAAATTGATGTTGAGGAATATTATGCAGATTGTTAAGTTGGGATTATAGAGTTGTTTTGGGATTAAAACTTTAAAAGTATCATATTCATGAAACTTTATGGAAGATGATATGTTGATGATTAAGTTATGTTCATTTTTTTGTGAAAATGAAAAATGTGAAATATGGACTTTTGAACTCATAACCTTGAAAACGTTACTCTTGGGCATTTTTCATAATTTTTGATGTAAATATCATGTTAATTAGTTAATTTTAGAAAAGTTGTGGAAATTGTTATTTGTAGAGATTTGAGAGAAAGATGAACTATTTAAGTAGCTTGGCATGAAATATGATTATGTTTAAAAGATGAGACATGTTAAATTAGGTTTGATATAATTTATTTTGAAAAATTGTAAATATAATGAACTTACTAATTTGATGGATTAAATTAGTTTGGTTAATATTTTGTATCCTTTATGATTAAAAGTGTGTTATTGAGATTATACCATAACTTTTAAATAGTAGAATGGAAATGGTAATATTCAATAAGTATGGGATTTGGTGAAAATCATTTTGGTTATCTTGGTTGAGGTGAAACAAAAAATTGATTGAAGGTTTTGTGTGAGTCCAAACAATGGGAAGTTTGATATATAGTTTGTTATAGAATTGTCTTGAAATGACTAAATTGGGAATGTTGATTAACTTGTGGAGACTATATGAATGTGGATATTGATTATGGGTTTAATTTGAGGGCGTTACAATATTACATTGATAGAGATATGGAATTTGATCACAATGGAGTATTGTGTGGTAGAATTGAAATTGAAACTATTCTAATGCATTGTTACATATTGCATTGCCATTCTATTTCATTGTTATCATGGATTTCGAATTGCAATTGAAAACTATTGTTTTAAGAAAGTAATTGTTTTTGGTGAAACAAGATCATTTTGAATTGTTTTGGGTAAACACATTGGTAAGTCCGGCTAGGGGGTGTGGTTTGATATTGGTTAAGTTGGCCTGAGTGTCCATGGTGAAAGACCATAAATCGCGCAGATAGGTGTTGAGCCTTCCAGTTAATACTAGTAAATATGACAGATTATAGGTGTCGAGCCTTCCAATTAATACTAGTAAAAATGACAAATTGAAAATACTTGTATAGTCTACTTACAGACACCAGCCTAGGGATTACCTGAGTAGTATTTACCATCTTGGAATTTTATTGAAATTGTTGGATTAATATGTTTTCAAAATGGCATTGTGCGTAAGCTTTTCAAAAGATGAGAAAAATATTTT